GGGGTAAATTCCCTAAAAATTGTTTTTAATGGATGAGTGAAAAAATAGTCTGCAGTTTTAACGAAGATGTTAAATATATAGTATAAATATAGTATGGCACTGTAACAAATCGGTGCCACTGGATTTGGGTGTTTGTCAGCTCAGCTATTAAGTTAGTAAAGTGCTTGATAAAGACATAAAATTTAAATGTAAATTACGTAATTTATGTAAATAACGATTTGTAATAATTTGGTAAATAATTATACCTTTGTTTTGTTTTTTTTTTAATTTTATTTATTTCATTCATATACTGTTTTTTTTAACTGATAATTATTTTATTTTGAATTTCTAATTTTACCAGCAACCGTGTAGGTACTTTGCTTCTATTGTATGGTTGAAGAACCCGAAGTTGCGGTAATCACATCTAAGATTGAAATATACATTACAATCGTTAATGATTAGTAAAGAGTAATTATTAGGTAATAAAAACATTGTTATGAAATAAATATTATGAGTTCCAGTAATTTAATGATCTCTTCGAATCTGAGGAAAGGAGGTTATAATGGTTATTCGGAAATTAATGATGACGAAATATTTAAAATCCTTGGATATGAGCATCAATCATTTGTATGTATTTCGCTTAATTTTGCTTGTAAAAAAAAAAGAAAATATGATAGCAAGTATCGTTATTTCAAATTTAATTTATCATTAAATTACCTCCACAGAACGTTTTTTCTAGTCTGCTCCGCTCATCTAAACTTAAAATATTTGTAACAATTGCAACTAATTAACCACTAGTTTAAACTTCGATTTTTATAAATTGCAATACTCAGCTTCAGAATCTGAAATGAAAATATATTATAATTAAAAATAATAATAATAAAACATTAAAACCTTTAATTTTTTTGATAAAATCAATATTTTTTGAAATAATGAGCACTTACATAATTCAAAAACCATCCTATGTACGTGACACGTGTACCTATATATTTCTATTATAATCAAAGTATTTTTCAAAAAAATATACAGTATGTAGAATGTAATTAGATGATTAGATCGAATAAAAATTTAAGTTATATACAAAATAAAATTAAAAATATAATTTAACATAATAATGTAATAACATACCTATGTAACTTAAATTATAGTAACCAGTAAGTACTATTCGTAGTATTATATAATCTACTATATCAAGTTTAAATTAATATAATTAATATACAAGTAGGTGTATATTATATTATTATAATATTATTATTAAAATGTACAGAGAAAAAAAAATTGTAACTATACTTACCACATTTTCATTCATTAAATTTAATCCTTTTCTCTTGGATTAATATGCTGTTTATACCTCTACTTACATTCATAAAACTAAATACAATTTATTTATCACACTTTTAATATTTTAAAACATAATAATCTATACAGTTTATTACTTGAAATTTATTAAACTATTTAATTTACAAATGACATTTTTGACAGTTAACGTAGTTAAATTTAATCATGATAAATTGCCATGTATTATTTGATTACTACAATATTAATGCAGATTATAAATACTTTATTAACCTTGAAGAAATAGAAAATATTTTTAATCACTCTATAAAGAAGTTTAAATATTTTATTTTATTGACAATGTAATACAATAACTATACCTATACATAAACATACAAATACAACAAAACTGTGTTATGGCCAATTAAATAGATATTTGATTGGAGTTTTATTCATTGAAAAAAATTTTAAACAATTAATTACATACAATAATAACTATACAGTTATTCTATCCAATCGCAATTATTATTGATAGCTTAATATTATAAAATAAATAAATAATTTGACCTTTTATCAATATTGTATGAGTTTTATTGTTATTTTTGATCAAGGACAATTATTCGAATTAGATAGGATATATTGCACGTTTTCCGAGTTTTCTATGAAATTGAAGAACCACGAAGGTGATAATCCATTTTTTTTTTTTTTTTGTTAGTGATTATACTGCCGAGTAGGTACTGACTAGGTATTAAAACATTATGTTTTCATTTAACTATCGGAGATTTAAGTTACTGTTTTAAAACTTAACTAAATAGTTACTAATAAGTGGCGAGTACACAATACATATAATACAACGTAAATAACATCACATTACCTAAATGTTCTACTGAATAACATAAAAAATAATAGGAGCCAGAGTACCTATACCATAAGTGTACTGGATAGCCATATAGAGTTTATTTTAATGATATATATTAAAAACTGTTAAATAATTCGAAATAAATTTTACAAATATCATAAAAATGAACATCTTTATTCATGCTGGAGTGAAATTATAGTAAACACACAATAAGCAAGCAATATATGTAGTAGGTATACCTGCATAGCTACATAAAAAAAAAAAGCTATACTATGTTTAAGAGTGAGATTTATGTTTTAAATGTTATGTACTTATGTGATGGGTGCCTAAAAGACACTATAAACTGTTGGTCTTCGGTTAAAAAAAAAACTTACTCTCACTAGAAAGTATTGACGATAACAAAAAATTTATGAATACAATTGACATTTTTTCCAGTTAATGCACGTGTACAAATGCATAATATTATATAGTTATTAGTTATTACATATACAACGTTACATATTTTTAGTGAGTTTTCTCATTAGTATATATTTGCACTTTGTCATCAATTATTAATTGTCTGTAACCGTATGCCTATGGAAACACCTCTCCCCAGTAAAATTAATGCGTATCTACTACCTACTTATAATGATTTCGTAATATAATATTAGGTATAGGTACCTAATATTATACATGATGAAGTGGTACCAATGGAACCGTAATTTAATTGCTTTATTATTCGTTTTATATTTCGATAATATGTAGGTACTTATATTAATTACATTAAGATCCTAAAAAAATGAAGTAACTAATAATAATTTATTTGAATGCCCCGTTTGTAAAAAAAAAAATATTTAATTTATTATTTATATATTATACAATTGAATACTGGATATAATTATCTATCGTTGCATAACTCTTAATGTGTACACGTTGAGTTTCGTTTGTTTTTTTTTTTTTTATAATACATAGGTAATATGGATAAATTACCTCTAATTGCAGTGTTTTAGAAATACTGTTCTCTACTTTTTTCCCGTAAATTTTTAAAATTCATTCAAAATACTTGAAAATAAGTAAATTTTATTTTTTAATACAATATATATATAAAAAAAAAAATGTTAATTATACACCTATATTATTAATTAAATTATTGCAATTATTCACTTTACAACTCTTGAATTTTTTCGATTATTTAACTACTCACCCATATTTTTAATCAATATTTTAACAGTCTTGTAAACAACTATTATATTTGTGTTCCACGAATCTGTATACATTTCGGTAAAAAATTAAAAGAATTGGTGGTACCTATACGATTGAACAAAGGTATATCTTTGAATTCTTAATACCTATTATGATATAAAACTAAACACGTTAAATTAATATACGATAAAATGATTTTAATCTGGATAATTATGAATGCTGTAGTTCCTATATTTATATTTATAGCAAATAATATTATATTTTCTGGGTGTAAAAATATGTGCAAAATCATTATTTCATATTTATTTATTCTTAAAATATTAAAATTGTCTATGATAAAATTATTTTTTAAGTACTTGAATATTTCCAAGCACAGAGTTGTTTAGGAGTAGTATTGTACACACAGATCCTCCTTCGCTGTCGGTTATCCAAAACAAGTATTGAGTTGATTACAAACATTGAAACTATATTCACATGGGGCTCGATTTTAAGGAGCATTGTATAGGCAAATTATTCATTATTTTAATAATCCATAGTAAAACAATACTCGTGGCCATCGTACAGGTTCATACATTTATTAATTATTATTGACAAACTAATCGATTAAAAATTAGATTGTATTCCAAGTTGTGTTCTTGTCTTTGATCTACGTCATATTCCATACGAGACTTATAGTATTATTTTCGCATTCACCACATCATATTTTAAAAATGTACTCACATGCAAAAATGTTGCCATTTTTTTCTAATTCCGATCTAATTAAAATAATTTATAGCTATTTTTTGTTTATAAAAATATATTATTTGTAAATTGTGATTGTTCTATGTATAATCTATGATATTACTCACCTATTTTATTTTTATTATAATATTATGTTTATTGAGATTTTTTGGAATGTATGTAATATGTATAATTTATGTGTTTTTTTTTTAAATGTTGTGCCCTGATCCCTAGAATTTTATTATATTTGATTTTTTTTTCAATTAGTAAACTATAAACATTTTTAGATTTTTTTTTTGTGATAATTTATGATTATTAATATTTTTAAGTATAATTTAATATCTTTAAATAAGATTTACTTGTTTATTTATTTTTATGGTATATTAAGTATTTAAATAGTTTATAATTTATAAATATTTTATTAATTTACATTTGGATAAATATCAACATTAATGTCAAAACCTTCGAGTCAAAGAGAAAATCAATTGGTCTTAATTTATAGTAAATGTTAATTAAATTATCTTAGGTTACAACATAATAAATACAATTTTTTATATTTTTAAGTACAAAATATGTAATTTTTTATTACAATTTATTTGTAAGTCTATAGGTATTTTATATTTAACTGTTTCAGTTTTAAAAAATAACATTTTAGATTTTTAATGTAATGAATGCATTGATTTTATAATTATTATTTTTTTGGTTGAATGTTAATTTGGATAAAAAGATTCTACTAAACATTTCAAGTAGTATTATTCAAGAATTGTAATAAGTAAAATTAGAATAAAATATATATATATATTTAGATAATTCATCAATTATATGTATACAAATCAGGTAAAATTTAAAAACTTAAATATAGTATTATTTCAATACAAATTGTCGAAGCAAAATAGTAAATATATTTGATAGCAAGTTGAAACAATTAAAAAAAATTATTCTATTAAATTCAAATTGAAAATAAAATAATAGTTTATAGAGATATGTGAACAAAATATATACTTAAAAATTGTGGTGTTTACTCATAAATAGAGTAGATACACTGATTGACTGATCAATTCTAATTAATTATAAAAAAATAGAAATTCAACGTTTGAAATCATATGAATAATACAACATAATCTAAGATTGAATATAGTTTTGACCACATTACAATTAAATGTGTATTACCAATTGGATAAAATCTGTGGTCATCAGTCTTATCAATGGCACTGATAGTAATGTTGAAAATTTGCAGTGACATTAGTTAAATATACAAAATATTATTAATTTAGCTCATATAAATAATAAATATGCAATATATCTACAAATTAAATTTTATGATACTATGTTTTCAGCTAATTCTAACATAGATTCATTAAAGCTAATAGAATTCAAAGACGTGAAGGAAGTGTTGACGTTTAATAGGTCATCCAAATTATTAACACTATTAGATGGTATATCAGTGTTCAGATCCTAAAACATATTTTTTATTAATAACTTATTCTAAATATAAAATAACTTTCAATTACAATAATGAATATTTTAACTCACTTTCACTTGATTGGAAATTAAAAATAAGTCTTCTGTTCTATCGCACGCCTGTAACTCATTATCATTAATTATTGTAGCATTTATATAATCAATTTCTGAACTGCCTTTTTGGAATTTTGTAGTTAGCTCCCAAACAGTAGAATGTTTATCTTTCATATGTATCTAAAATAAATTATGTCAATTTAGTTAGTTATTAAATTAATGTACATTTAATTATATATTTTTTAATTTGATTATGTACTTAAATATATAGCAAATGAGGTTTCATACAAAATAAATTTCAACATTGTGAATAGAACTACAAAAACGGTTTGTATATATTTTAATATATTTAAGTATATTATGAATATTTTTAATAGATTAATTAACCAAATTAAAATGTATAGTTAACTTAAATTTTTTAAGGCAATAGCTGTTGCATCAATTACTAGACAAACGTCTAGATTGTTTAAATTTAATTTAGCTTAATTAATAATTAATTAATGTTATACTCTACTTTTCTATGTTTGTTAAAATTTGTCACTGTTGCAAAGTCCTTGTTACACAAATCACAATAATATGGTTTTTCCCCTAAAATAATTAAATTACAGCGGTTTTTAAACACAGTAATTTTTAGCAGTAAAGTAAGAATAAAATATTACAAAAGATGTTTCAAATGGTCCATATTTTTACCTGTATGTGTACGAGAATGTCTGACCAGCGCTGTACGATCAACAAATTTTTTTGGACAATATTCACAATTGTATTGTCGATCATTATAATGACGCCTTAAATGAATTTTCAGAGTATTATTATGTGGGAATGATCGTTCACACACTGAACATTTGTAAGGTTTAGCACCACTATGACATCGAATGTGAGTTTTCAACTAAAAATATAATCTTAAAATTATTAACAAACATATCAAATAAATTGATTATTTATAAATATATGTAAACCTGAGATGATGTTCTAAATGACACTGTACAATATTCACAATTGAAAGGTTTTTCTCCAGTATGTATGCGCATGTGTTCTTGTAGGTTTCCATTTTGATAATAACTTTTTTTACATACTTTACATACATACTTTTTATCACCTAAATAATTAATAAATAATATGTATAAATTAAAATAAATTTAATAATTCACAATTGAAAAGAGCTTAATATTTTATTATAGAACAGAAATTGATAGCACCTATATTGAATACTGATTTAGTAATAATTTAACTATATTTAAGCAGTCTAAAATGAAAATACTTACCTTTATGAGTTTTTAAATGAGTATTAAGCCCACTTTTATGAGCAAATGTTTTCTTGCAATATTCACATGAAAATCTTTCAACAACTTTGACTGTGGCAGTATCACTTGATCTTTGTTCTTCTTCTGTAACCAGAAATGGATAACTGTCAATTTTACATATTCAACATTATGTTATTTAAATTTTAATTGATTTTAATTACCATGATGATTTTTCAAATGAACCTTCAATTCATTTTTGTTGTCTAACGTTAAACCACAAGTCTCACATATAAATTCTACATCATTACTTTTAGTGTTTATATTATTCTTGAAATTATTGGTTCTTTCATCCACCAAAGGTATATATTCTGCCGAAGAAAGTTGTTTAGACTTATACATTTCATAAACATTTTTGAGAAACATTTGACCATCTAACAAGTCATCAATAAATTTTACTAACATATCCAATTGACATTTACAGTTAGCACATATAGTTTTTGGGTATTCATCATCATCACAAACCTGTAACATACATATACAAGTATAATTAAAAAATAAAATAATTTAAGTAATTTTCTTGTTATTTAATTAAGTAATCTATAAAATTGTTATTTAAGTTAAAATGAGGGTTAAAAGCTTGGTGTTTTAATCAGAAAATATTTCAATAAAATAATCATATAACATTGTATTATAGCTTTTTGATTTAGGTAACTTAACATTAAATATAAATCATGTTAGTTAAAATTATATTTATATTTTTGTAAGAACAATCTGTTGAATAATCTAAATCATAAGATTATATAAATATTTCATATTTACTTGAATAGGCAAATAACGGTTGATTAAATCTGCAATAGTTAATTCAGCAGCATCAACTTTTTTGTAGATCAGGAACCTTGATGAATTGCTTAGTCCACAGAGTCGACAAATATTAGATTGACTTAAAGAAAACATTTGATCTGAGATTTCGATTTCTTGTATTGACATTATTTCTATTCTTGTTTTTAAGTAAAACAAATTCTAACAAATAAAAAATAATAAAATAACCAACAACTACATTTGTAATTTATTGCCTGCCTAATACCTTTTTGATTAATTAAAATATTTTTTTAATATCTTCATAACTAATTCAATTAACTAGGTAGTAAAGAAGTTTTATAATTTAGTTTACTGGAAAATTAACAATTTTTACATCCTACAAATATCATATCAATTTTGAATTGAGAAGGATTCAATTTCTTTGGCCTTTTGAAATTTTCAACCTTTTACAACACGAATTAGTATAATACTGAGATATTTAGGCAATGTGAATCGCGATTGATGATAAATCTTAACTCATAAACTACAAGGTATAAAGTTAAACTCAAGTTAAAGTAAAAGTTGTTATTAAATAGTAAATACTTGTCAGTTGATTATAACAATATACATAATCAGTAATCACAGTACAGTACGCGGAGACGCAATTATTACGAATTTCCGTTTGACTGATAAATGATAATGTAGTACTTAGCATTGTTACCACTTGAAGCAAAATAATGTGTACCATATATTATTGTGTACTTTTAAAAATATAATATTTTTTAACATAAATTTACATTATTTCATTATTCTATATCTACTTACAGGCTACAAGTAATAATAAATATGTATTAATAGTATAAACAATATAATAATTACAATCACAAATTAATTTCACACATTTAAATATTTGACTATCGCGGTGAACCTGTGTACACAACAGGGAAAATGTATGGTCGAGGAAGGTCTCCTCGTGCCACGCGTTTCAATGTTTTATAATATTTGACGATTTAATCATGGACGACATATTGTCAACAGTTTTATAATATTGTGTTCTTAGGTATAACATTATTTTCTATAGATGTGTGAATGTGTCACAACTATAAATAAATTTACGAGTTACCTTTGCCACGGAGAGGAGTTTTCATACTTTGATTTTCCATGTTATACTTATTTATAAAAAAAAAAAAAATATACTTTGATCAAATACATAGAAAATAAGACTTAACATAGGTGAGTACCTACATTCATTTATTTTCATTCAATTTTTCAAAAATAATTTTAAAATGCCTATTCACTTCTTATATTATGTATAGATACGTAGGTACCTAAAATTAATTTCAGGGGTTGAAAACGTGTACAATGTACCTACCGTAGTGGTTATCAACATCAGTTAAAAATCGAAATTTAATTCAAATAAATAATTAGTATATCTTCAATTTTTGTGTTTTGATGTTGGACCCTTAATCAGGGCACAGAAAATATTTCCGGAAGAGGCGGGGTGACTTGGGTAAAATTAATAAATATAAAATAACATAAAAATTAATATACATAAAACATAAATTAGTATATTGCCTATCTGTTCGTGAGATTTTAAGAAGGTATTAAATAATAGTATTATGAAATGATAAAAAAACTATATTACATTTCGTTCAAACAATTTACATAAATAATGATAAATGAAATATACATACAAATAATATATATGGCAAAATATAGTCCATATTATTTATTCATAAAACTATAAGTTATAACAGCCATAATTATTATATTTTTTAATAATAAAAACACTACCAAAAACAGAGCGCTTATTGCAGATAGCAAAAACAATATTGCAATATAATGTAGTCCTGTGTTTTATTTTATTTGTTTGCGTTAAATGAGACTATATAGTATATACAATATTATCGACAAAATCGGGGAAACTTGTAAAGTTATGAAAAAATAATAAAACTTTAAGAGTTATAAATATATATGTAACATGATGATGTTACAATTTATGTATATTTATATCATTATCGGTGCATTCGAATTGCGTCCATAAATTATATTTTGTCCGAGTTGTGTCCGTGGTTTTGTCACGACACATCCGAGTTGCGTCCGCGGTTTTCTCGTGACATGTACGAATTGCGTCCACGCGTTTTTCAACCACTAACAATAATGTTTGGTGATAAAGTCGTAGATAATCTCGATTATCGCTATCTTATATGTAAATACCACCTTGCAATTTATTTGTTCACGTTAACATCAGTCACACTTCGACATTCCATATCAAATCATCATATTTTTATTTATATTTATTTAATTTTGCAATGGAAAATTTTGAAATGGTGAACATTTTCAGTGAAAAAATAAACTATTATATTGCCATTTATACACCATTTATACAAATGACAGTCCTCAGTTTGTAAAATTGGGAAGAAAAATATGTATATTATTAGACAATTAATCAATTATTAACCGGGACGCAATTCGGATATTGCGATTTATATTTTTGTATTCTGGGACGCAATTTAATATTAAATATTTAATATAATAAATATTGAAAATATTTTGTAAATAATAAAGGTTTTTTGATCATTATTATATCAACAGACAGCAATATACTTATGACCCAAATTCTTTTTCGCTTGTTAAATTTTGACCTAGCAAAAGAAATTCCTAAAAATTCGACATGATATATAATAATTAATAATAATTATTAAATATATCATATAAAATAAAAAATATCATAGAACAAATTTAACAAAATCGTTTGTCTTTTTAATTTTGCAAATAAAACAACCACACACGTTCGATATTCATTGACGGCCATAGCAATTGTCGGTATATTAACTTAATTCATATTTTTAAAAATTAATTTATTTTAATTAATAAAATAATTTAATACAAATTATAAAATTGTATTGTGTAAAATAAGTTTGAATTTGATCAGACTAGCCTTTTGACGACGGCCGATAAAAATGAGCACGACCGAATACAGTTGGCAAGGCAGAGTGTTTTAATGTTTTATCATAAAATCATTTTTCTACAGTTAAATATCTAAATATCGAACACTATCAGTCACCAAAATTTTTTCTGCTGTTTAGAGGGGGAAGTAAGTAAGAAAATTAACAATATCAAAATATATCATAAAAATTATATACATGTACATCGTACTCATATAGGATGCCCGTTATTTATATATTTCATTATAATTAGAGAAGTGCCACTCGGGAATTTTTTTTTTATGGATCTAAAAATAAAATCTACAAAATTTGACCTTATTGTATAATGTACTTATATTTACGTATATTATTATTTATTAATCGTATGTATGAATATACTTTTATGTATTATTATTTAAAACAAAATCAGTTATTGAATGAGACGGTCATTTTCTACGACGGATAAAATTAACTACAGTAGTCACTCGTTAATTCGAAATTCAGGGGACCAAGTTAAAAATTCGATTTATAGAGGTTTTCGATTTACCGAGTGTTTGAATAATTGAGGGAAAATAATTAATTCGAATTAAAGAGAGGTGAAAAATTATTGTATGTATGTACATTGTACATATTACATTTATTTTGACATCTATTTATTATACAAAATATACATACATACCTACATATTATTATATTTTATAATTATTAATTGATATTTATTTATTTTATTATTATATTTTACATATTAAAAAAATCTGTTTTTTGTGATAAATTGCTGGCCAGTGGCCACAATTTGGTTCATAGCGTTGTCTAACTTATTGATAGCATTGAAAATTGTATCGCATCTTTTTTCGTTCATTTCAGATTACTCAAAAAATTGACGTAATCCTGACAAAAGTTTAGATTAGGTAGGTAAGGTACGATAACGTTTATCAACTACGATAATATTAAACCACCAACGTTATAACTTATAAGTTTTATTACGATTATATGTCAAATAGATTGTACATTATCTTCATATGTATGTACGTTGTACATGCATATGAACTTACATATAATCGAGTTTAAGGAAATTCGAATTATAGAGGTTTATGGAATAAAAATTCAAATTGTAGAGTGTGTCCCACCGTCAGACGTTTCGAATTATCGAGGGGACCGGAATACATGCATTTTCTTCTAATTATAGAGGTTTTCTCAGGGGACTTAGCGTTTAGTTCGATTTATGGAGTTTTTCGAATTATCGAGGTTCGAATTAACGAGTGACAACTGTATAAGAATATAATGATATATAAAATTTAAACGCGTCTGTTGAGGGAGCTTTCGCTGTATAGTGTATTGATTGATTCATATTCATTTTTCTGCTAAAAGTAAGCACTAAACACTGTAGAAATTACTAGTCTATGGAGGAGGGGTACTATACTACTATCACATATTGGTATCCCCTTAGATTCGCGCCTGCTGCAGTAAAAAGTGAATTGACCTATTAACAAACTTAAAGTTAAGAAATAGAAATTTTATCCGTTTTTATGATATTTCAATTTTTCTAAAATTTATAAGCATTTTTATATTATGATATTTTACCAAGTGTTCATAACTTAAAATTTGTTAAAAATGTAAAGGTATCCTCCGTGAAGATTAATGCATTAGTCATACATTTCTTAAATTTTTTTTTTCATATTACTATATTTCTGTATTATATTATTAATTAAATATGAGTTTGTACTAATGGTTGCAGGTCATAAGATAAGGTAACCTTGTACCTATGTAACCTGTTGGCTGTATCATGACTTTTGAATTGTATTATGTTTTTTTTATATATATAGGTACCTGTATATTAAGTTAAACTAGTTCGTATTTAACCAGTAATGTATAGATATTCAATTTTTTAACATGTGTGTGTTCTTACTATTTTTTTTTTTTTTTTTGGTTAATATAATAATTATTAATAGTGTGTGTTAAATTATATCGTTTATGATTGTTTGTTGGACCTATGAGTATACTAGTTTAAGGTAAATGAAAATTCTTGGTAATTTATGTCTTAAAAATATAATAATCCTAACACATTAAAAAAAATTATGATGAGTAGGACTCATATTAATTATTTTATATTAATTTATCAGAGTATTGTACTTATTATTTATTAGTTATACATAGAAAACGGATTTATATATTGTAATCAAAATACAGAAATATATGTACATAAATATGGAAGTATAATTTATAAAATATGTGCTAAAAACATCTGAATATACGGGAAAAAAATTTACTTAAAAAAATAAATACATTAAATATAATGATAAAATTATCGAAATGATTTGTCGCATTGAATAATTAAAATTTCTTTTAAATTATTGAATGTTAAATGTCGTCTATTAGGTCTCAAAATATTTGTAAATAGATAAATAATAATTTTACATTAACCAATGTAATTGGAACATACTTGGAGCGCATAATATCATTAATATTTGAAGGCGATAATTCCAAATTTTTAGAAGGGTGTTTGCCATTCATTATGTCATTGATTGTTTATTTTTTTTTTTGATTTTTTTTCTGAAACAGTATGAATTTTTTTCCAACATGCCGATAAATGACTGTTTTTGTTCACTGAAACATGAATTGAAAACGAATGAATGATGAAATGATAAAATATGTTTAAAAATATTTAAAAATGAGTGAAATATATAAAAATATGTAATTATACCAAAATATGTAAAAATATGTAAAATAAAGTAGCATAATTTTAATGAAAATGATTAAAATCGTGAACATTTCTTATCGAATCTTAAATATCTTGTTTTAATAAAAATATGTATTTACATATAAATCCGTTCTCTAGTTATATACCATATCATATATGTCTATCCAGACTTATAATATTTTACACTCCTATTATAATTTATAATATGTCCTCCATTGTTTTGTATTTAGGCTTATATTTTTCCTCAATAAAAAAATATAAGTAGGTACGTAGGTATAGATTATAGACCTAACAAATAAAACAGAAATTAATTTGAGATTAATTAGTAAGTACTTGAAGTCATAGACTAAAGACACTAAAATTTATTTTAAAATATGAAAAAATGTCCATTTATTTAAATTATTTCTAGAGGAGATTTTTACAAGTAATTTTATTTAGGGGAAAAAAAATATTTAGATACTAGACTTATTTATCGATTTTTCCTCATCATAAAGATTTTATTACAGTAAAATTGTTAATTTTAAGATTATTAATTATTAATTATCAACCATTATTACTACATTTTTTTTTTACATCGCCTATGTTATCAGATAATAACCAATATCGTTATGTAAAGATTTAAATTACCCAAAATACATATAAATTCGCAATAAAATAGAATGTCCATAAATAATAAAGAGATAGATTTGTATATACATATAAGGTACCGATAAACCTATACTCGAATCACTGTATTAGTTATAACTTATGATAACAACTTCATAAGTGTATTTGCTGACAATACCTATCATTAAATCCTTTCCATAGTTATTAGGTAATATAGTATAGTTTTACATATCGATTATTATTAATATATAAGTATACTATATACACGTATAAATTATTATATCTTGTTCCATTTGTGATTATTTTTAATTTTTTTATATAATAAGTTTGGTTTTTATTTTTTTAAATGTTAATCGGTGTAATACAATATACAGTGAAACTTCTATATAACAAACTTCCATTTAACGAAATTTTCTGTTTAACGAAATATTTTTGAGAACTATGACCTTTAGCGTTAATTACACGTAAGTTTATCTCCAAATAATGAATCTGATGTTTCTATATAACGAAATAATTATTCGATAAAAACGGGTTTTTTTAAATGTTGTTACTATCAAATTGTAGTCATAGTTCTAAAATTGTACATGAACAATGTATCCGATAAATATAAGACACCGAAGGTAGGCAAACTGATTAATTTTACTGCAGTACTTCAGTTCCAATATTGATGCAAACGAGTTTACTACGAATTCTCTTTCGTTTTCTCTTCGTCCGTACAAAAAAAATGTCGAAACGTTAGAGAAGACGAAGAGGAACATGCAGTAGAACAAACCAAACTCACAGAAGAAGACATATTAAACGCTTAATCAGTGTAAGAAATGGTTTTAGACAACAAGGAAATGTTCCCGATGAAATTTTTTTTTTTAAACTTGACGATATAGAAACTTTTTATGAAAAAAGGACAATTTTCAAAAATAATAAGCAAACAAAACTCATTGATTATTTCTTTTAAATTAAATTTAAGGTTAAAAATTAAATCAAACTGTAATATGATGTTTGATGTTGTTTTTTATATACATATACATATAATTAAATTTTAAAAAAAGTTGAAAAAAATACGTAATTCTATTTAACGAATTCCTCTATATAACGATTTTTTTTTTTTTGTTGCTTATTCGACTTCGTTATATGAAAGTTTCACTGTATTATATTTCATTAATATCTGTTAAATAAGCATTCAGATCAGCCTGTTTAGTCATATGTATGAAAATTAATAAAATATTACAGTAGACTCAATTAATATTATATAAGTTCATAAATTAAATATTTTTAACCGTAATTCAATTTGCTTCACATCATTGTATAATTCTAAAAGAGTATTATGTGACATTATCAAAAATATTTCTAATATTATTTAAGTAATTTTAATTGTACACGTATAATGTATGTAGTGTGTACTATACTATAATATAAGTTACAACTAAATATCACCTTTATAACTTATTTTTTAGATGAATATAATTATCAAACTTTAAGCTGTTGAGCTGTAAGATACCAGTCGATATTGAATAGCTTGCAAACTGAAAAAAATCATGGATATGGAGGAACATGATATCGAGTGCGTTCCAAATTTAAGTTTTACTACCAATCTATTTAATAATTACGAAATAAAATAAAATATAATAATTATAATAGTTATATAGATTATATAGAAGCCACAATATTTAAAAACAGAACTTAGATTTATTTCAATTCATCTAAAAATAATCGTCAATTATATCATAAATAAATATAAATTGGGTATAGTAACATTTAAAACAGTAATTATTTCAATACTATCTAAAAATTAGTCTAATATAACCTAATCATCAATTAGGTACATGATGCATTTTATAAATGTTCTTTATGGCTTATACATTATAATTTACATATATATAATGGTTATATTATACATATCTAATAATTTAATTAAAATGTATTGATAAAAATTCAAATTATGTTTATTAAAGACAAATCTACATTGTACATTTTATATGTACAAATGTTGTAGTTGAAGATTCGATTTCTTGGTGTCCTATTAGAAAATATTATTAATATAAAAGTAAGTTTTAATAATTTTTTACATAATAAAATATAATATGATGTGTAAATAGTAGTTTATATTTAGATATTTTATTTGTTTGGTACTTACTTCGTATATTACCTTATTTAGAATTTTGAGGTAATTGCTACAGACGCTGTATACCTACCGAATTGATTATTGAATACTTCATAATTTTATTCAATTTGATAATAAAATTTTAATAAAAACATAAATTATACTTACGTGGAGACGTGGCTATGTAAATAATATCATAATTATATTTTTGTATATACTTAGCATAGAACTGTATAGTTTTTAATTTGAAGACAATTGCTAATATTGTATTATTTAGTTTTAATGCTTAGCTATTGGCTAAATAATATGATTTTAAAATACATGTATTCCTAATAATCACTTTTATTATTTGTGCGCATTAATTGCATGACGCAATGATAATGTAGGTACCTATCTCTCATGTTTGATAACTTCATACAACTGTCAATGACTATGACGGGATATGGTAAAATCATATAAGTATTAGTATTGTGGTTGTCTGTATTTGATGTAATGCTTTAATTTACAATTAAAATTATTTATTTAAATTATATTATTGTCACTAAACATTTAAGAATAATATAATACTAATAATTTAAAACCTATGATTTATGGCTGTTGAGTTATTGAAGATAAAAATTATAACGTTATATAGCATAATATATTAAATTATGATAGATAATGCAAAAGTAAAATTAAGTATCTAACATCTTTTTATTTGAAATTACACACAATCTTGGGCACATACTAGGTACGTCTATATCCTATAACATACCAGATAGCCAGGGCCCGATTTACGCTTAGGCCTGTGAGGCTCAAACCCAGGGTGGCAAATTTTATAAGAAATGGAAAAAAAATCATATAAATATTTTATGCATTTATGTAACTGCATAAATTAATGTTATATAATATTTAATATATATATTTTAAAAAATAAAAGTAAATCCGTGAATTTGACACATTGGTTAATTCTGTGCCCTGCCTAACATATAGTCTGTGATGCTTCGAAGTATAAATTATGATAATATAATCGACGATTTCGCCGTAAAATGTTATAGATACCATAGGTATAAGATTAAAAATGTACCTATTATTGTTTATTAGAATTTATAATTACTTATTTTGTTTATATTTTTATAATGACTACTAACCTAATTTCTTTAAAATGAAATAAATTTATTAGAAATAAATACTACATTTTTTTTCTTGTGGTAGGGGTGGCATATTTAAAGGGCTTAGGGTGGCACCTTTTCTAAATTCGGTACTGCAGATAGCTACGTGTAACCACATTTAGGTGCTACCCATAATGGCTATATGCATAAACTAGATATTTATTATTTCTTCAGTATTACTATTAGTCGAGGCACCTACAGAGTTGCGACCCGTGAAAAAGGTATACACGAATTGCATCCCACTATATTGGTTAGGTAGCAGAAATTTTATTTCGTTTTCAGGGGCTTTACGTGGTGTATTAAGGGAGCCTGGGTTCTGATATTATTTATTTATATATTATATATTATGGACTCTGTTGATTTTTATTATATCTGTGATTTAACGTTTATTTACTTTTTTATTAAATTTGATAAACAATTTTTTGATTGACTTATGATTTTATTAATAATTGTTATTTATTTATTTATTTATTTTTGTTAGTTGTTTAAGAATTGCTGATTAAAATACACGAATTGCATCTTGGATTTCTTGGGACGCAATTCGTGTATACCTTTTTTACGAGATGCAACTCATGTGCTTCTCTATTAGTATCCTCTTTCTTATTACTCACATCTATTTTGATTTTTGAGCAACAGTTGTGATAAATTTAAATAATATTAATACCTATACATAATATATTGATATATTTTCTATTTATAATAATAAACTGCATACATAATTAACACAATATTTGATTACTAGTTAGAAGTGAGTGACATTTGACTTAAATTTTTTTCAATATTTACTAATTATGTTATCATTTTGTAAATAATTGTCATAGATAACAATCTTCGCCTAACCTATTCGACTATACTGCAAATAATTCGATTAAATAATTGAATTGAATTATTTTGTTTTGTTTCTTAAATTTTATGATTTTAATTTAATATTAATATACTAATAATTATAATAATTAATAAACTATGTTGGACCACATTACTGTTATAAGTTTAAATAAATATGTTATATAATTATTACATCGGCGTCATCAGCCATCAGGAGTTCACAACGTTCCGAAAAATTATACTAAAACAAAGTTATCCTTTTTACAATATTTCATACATAAATACATTATGTGTAGGCTAGAGTCGCATATCATTCTTGATGTCCAATCGATTTCTTGGTTTTGTTTTAATTTTGACCATTGTAGAAAATCCAGATTCACAACGATATGTAATGGCGAATGGAATAAAAATTGCATTGATCCGGATACAGCTCCGCGGATAAGCCTTCGTCAAAGTATACCAAAATTCGATCACATTTTTTGTTCAAAAATCGTGGTGTGCCATTTCTTTTGCTCTTAAATAAATCAATTTATCTTTAACGAAATCTGAAACATCAATTGTATCTAATTCTACGAGAAAGAGATTACGTAACCATATTTCTACTTACATTAAGATGTTCACAAATTTGTGTTTGTATGAAAGCTTTTGAAAGTTCGTGTTCAAGTGTTGAAAAGCTTGCTATTTTCCGATTGAAATATACAAAAATAGTATATAAACATAAAACATTCGATAAAGTTCACAATACAAATGTTCGTAATATATGAATAGTTTTAATTTTAATTCTTTTTGAAACTCATTTCAAAAAAAAATTTAAAAAAATTTAAAAACAAAAATAAACTACTCTTTAAGTTTAAAAATAATTGTGGCAGATGAATGCATCCTCCTTATTTAATACCTGGATAATGAGAAGGTCGTTGACAATTTTGATCCCGGGCCAAAATTTTAAAGTTACGCCACTGATGAATACATTATTATAATTGTTTTTATATGAAAACTACCACCTTGGGATTACCTAAGGGCAATCATATATATTTAACAATATTTTACACTTTTACAGATTATTTTGATAGGTACTCCTGGTTCTTAATCAATTTATTTGAAAAATGTATTATTAATAATGTAGAAAAAACTTTAAATATCTCATGATTTTTAAACATTTATAAACAAATATTTTGGATTTGTCCTTCGGTTACACTTACCGCTATCAGTGACAATATAATAATTAAAATAATAAGAGTCTGAGTAAAGTAGGGCGCAGTCTATAGAGATATAGTTATACTCCATGGTGCAGTGCAGTCGTCCGAAAAATGATAAGGATAATATGATAAGCACAAAATTTATTGCCAACATAAGATTTTCAAATACATTTTTAAAGAGGAATTAGGGGCCTACGTTGCCCCTTTCTCGCTGCGCTCGCTCGAACATTCAAAATGAAAATATCTCTGGATTTGCTATGGTAAGGTCACACGGTTAAAAATCAATGCCAATAATGTTGCTAACGGTTGGTAATAGTTTTTGATTATCATATCTCGGGTTCTTATCATTTTTTGGTCAAGTGCTTCTATCCGTTAAAAAAAAAAATGATACGAATAATAATAACAACAATAACAATATAATAGTATAATACGCTCCTACTTATACATATGTATAGATCCTATAGTTCCTTAAATATTTATATTTTTATTGCTGCCAATTGATTTTATTATGTGTTCCTCATTGATATTGTTTGTCGTTTAAATTATTCAAATGTCTAAAAAAACTGAAATGTTGAAACACTTGAAATTCACTAATCGTTCCAAACATCGTGCACTCCATTTAATTAAACTTAAGCATAATAGATTTACCATTGATATAAGTAAGTTACCTACCTATTTACTTATAATTTGCTATGTTTTATGTCGGTAGAAATGTTTTAAATAATTTTTAAAATTTATATAAGTGAACTGTGAATCATTAAATAATTTATTTTATAATTTATATTAATTAAATCATCTTTAATGTATAAAAGTAAACTTAAGTTTTTTGTGCTCATCTTAATATTATCTTATTAATTTTTCAATATGATGTATATTCAATTATTAAATTGATTAATCTTTAATCACTTATAATAAATATACTAAAATAGTTCTTATACAAATAACCATACTTTTTGCTTAAATATATCTAATATAGTAAATGATTTAATTAAAAGATAAAATATTTAAAATGGGTGTGGCTTTTACAATTGTTAGAGTTTGTTTTATGTGCCAATATATTAGTTTCTTATCGAGTATGAAAGTTTGTTTTTTGTTATGCGTGTATTTTGGTAATTTTTATTGTGATTAGTAAAACTACAAATCTTGAAAGAAAGCAAGTTAGATTTTACACTGATATTTAAAAAGATTTTATGACAGATTTCTGTACGATATGTTTTTACTAATAACTTTTTTTAACTTTATTTTCTAGTATGAATAATTTACGACGAAGTACAGGCATGATTCAAAATTACTCAGTATCATGCCCAGAAAAACCAGACAAGCGATATTTATTTCAAATCAAAGTGTGTCGGCTGTCAATAGTCACTTTACTTAGTGTATTGGTTACCTTTATATTCTGTGTTTTATGGACTATACTTTTCAAATTGGAAGATGCTACATCAACACATTGTGGCTATCGAGTTTGTTTATTGAAATTTCTAAGCACAATATTTTCTTTATTTCTTAATTATTATATATATTTAATTTTGTTTAATAGGTTAAAAATTACTTGCCAACAATATCAACTGCCGTGGGAAACTATCCACTTCAACGATTTCTTTGGACTTTAGTCATAATCGCTCATAGTCCAATAAGACTTATTGTGGTTGGTATATATTACCAATATTACACTAGTATAATTAAACCATCATTACATTGGTGTGTGGTATTATTAAGATTTTTATCCACTGTTGAAATATTCTCATTAGTTGTTTTATCAATATTTACTTCATCAGATTATTACAGTGAGTAAAGTTACAAACTAGATATTATAATATTTTAAGTACTAGGTATTATTTTTGCATGAAAAAAATTATTCTTATTTAATAATTTTTCGGTTTTTGTTTTTATCAAATTTTTCCTTTTGTTTTCTGATACTTTAAAAGGTTTGTTTTTTTATATTTTTTTTTTTTATAAAATGCATCTATAGCTATTGGAGATTTCAAAATACAGTATTATAATGTTAAGCTAAACAATTAAGGTATAAATTGTATTAAATTTTAAAATTATTTTATTAAAATTTTTACATGACCGGCCAACCTACTGTAACTATTAGGTACCACCAGAAATTATTAATGAGCATTTCAAAAAAAATTAAAATACTTTAATTCTATAGATTTGTCTTGTTAAAATAAGTGTTTTTGATTTTTAAATATACTATTCTTTAAGTATTATGGTATAGGTATAGTCTGTTCTGTTTTCAATGAATATCCGTAATAATAATTTATTATTTGTGTACCTTTTATCATTAATCATTTTAAAATTATTTCTTTTTATTTAAATCAATATTTATTATCTTATGGAATATAAAACTTTACTTCTCACATTTTTAGATTCTTTTAATCAATTAGTTTTTATTTTAATTGTTATTAACTTTTTATACTTATTATTTATATCAAACAAATCTAATAGTTTAACATTAAAATTACATTTTAAAGTGTCAGGTAATAGTAGTAAACTCTAAAATAATAGTGTCCAACTTCTATATTATTGACTGTAAATTTTGTTATTTTATCTACATTCTTAGTATCTCCAATAGTGTTTTAAATTAGTAATCTTTAAAGATTTTTGGTGTTTTTTTTTTTATAATTTTGTTTTTATTTTATTATTATTTGAATTAATACTTTAACTTATTATAGAAGTTATTTAATCAGTATTATGGTTGGGTTATTTCTTAGTTTGATATTTATGTAGATGTACTAATATAATTTATTGCCATCACTTTTTTTCTGATTAAAAAGAAGTAAAAATGAATTATGATTTAATAATTGAAATATTTTTGATAATGTGATTTTTATAATAATGATTAATGATAAATGAGTTTTAACTTTTAATATATTTTTTTTTCATTTAAGCATATACATATGTATTTATTGTATTATTTTAAGGTATTCATGAAAAAAGTTTTGTCACATTTATCTGTGCTTCTGAACTTAATATGGTTATTTCTTCTATCTTATTGAAAAAAGGACGTATTACCAAAACAGTTATGACAAAACTAGAAGTGCGGTCATTAAAATATAAAATATATTTTACTGTATTCAATATGACCAGTTTTGCAATTGCTGGCTATTGTTTTTTGCGACATAATGCTTACTGCGAATCTGGTGGTATGTACTTAAATAAAAATAATTTTTTAGTATACACTATACATATTATACTAATATATATGTTTTATATTTACTTATACTAATATATATATTATATTTACTTATTGACTTGTATATAATTTCAGTATACACATTTTTTGCTCTCTTTGAGTATTTAGTTGTGTTGAGTAATATGACATTCCATCTTACAGCAGTTTGGGATTTAGCAGGTGTATCATTAGTGCTGGATGATAATTTAAACCTCACATATCGATGACTGAAATCTAAGTATATTTAATATAGCACTATGAGATACAAATATTATATTAATTGTTTGATTATGTGCCTACTAAAATGTGATATAGATACCAAATCAAATTATAGAAATAAAATTAAGATATGCTAATTGTTTAACTTTTATATTAACGTGTAAGCTATGGTTTATTAGTTTGCATACATTATTGGTAACTGGTGTAACACAAAAAATGTTTAAAATTATTATGGTTTAAATACTTATTAAGTATAACAGTTTTTTATGTTTTATTTGATGAGTATATTTTTTATTGAATGCTATAAGAAAATAATAATTTTTAATAGTTACATTACATTTTTATTTAACTTTCTAAGCTAATTAATAATTATTGATATATTTATATTTACAAAAATATTGTTAGTTTAAATGAACCTCATATTTTTAAACAACTGTTTTTATAAAACAAATATATTTTAATGTTCTGTTTGCTAGTCTCATGAATTTTATAAAATATTTAGGTAGTAATAAAGTAGTAAAATTACCTGTAAGAACAAACATTAGTTTTTTATGAAAGTTATTTGTAGAAATATTTATATGTTTAAGATTCTTGTACGCTTTATTTATTTTAAAACTTTTTAATATTTAAGCACATACATACATATTATATTTTTTTTATATCGGAATTAGAGTACAATATATTGTTAAATAAATATTAAATGTGTTTATTTTTGTATTATGAACCTTTATTACTAGCTATAAGATTATATAGTAATACATCATTTATACATTTTAAAGAATTTTATGATAATTGATAATTTTATCAATTATACATTTTTAATTATAAAATAAAGTCGTAAAAGATTTTGATTTGACAAATAATTTTATTTATTTTTTGTAATTGAACAAAATATAATATTATAAAATAATAGAATAAAATCTAACTCACAAGTTAGAATTTCTAGTTGTAACCTTTTTTAAACTAATTTCATATCATATGAGAGAAGGATGTAATCATTTAGATTTCAAGCGAGAAATATTAATGTTTCAACCTAAATTTTATTTTTTTTTAAGTTTTCAATTTTAGTGTCATATGTATTATGTAATATATAGATTTGGAATACATTTCAATGATTGAGCTATTATATTAAAAATTAAAATTAAATTTTAATTTCTTATACAAAACCATTACCCATAAATAAAATTTTAAATCTTATTATCTACTGTATTTTGATAATAATTTGGTTTTATCGTCTGTTAAATTCATTAATTTCACAGTAAAATTAGATTTAATTTTTAAGAAAATTATAAATAATAGTGGACCAGTGTATGCTTTTGGTGTTTGTGAGAAAATGGGAAGATGTTACTCTATTAGGTACTAGGGTCTAGAATCACAAATTAATTTTTTGGAGAGTCACTTTAAGAATTAAGGAAATTTTCAGGAACTATAAAAATGTAATGTATACGTTAAATAGAGTTTTACTTAATGGTATTCAATATGTATTTAAAATTCAACTTGTTCATAAGTCAAGTGTTGTTCATTTTTTCATTATTAGGTATGTCTTAATTTGATTTAAAGTTATAAAGTAGTTAATTTTAAAAGATATTACTTGCACTTTTAATGTCGTATTAGTTTATTATTATTTTTTTTTTTTTGACAATGGATGTACAATTATTCATGTTTTATAAATAGTTCTATGTTGTGTTAGATTTTTTTATTTTTATACAAAAAGTTTGACAACTAGATATTTTTATAAATTATTTTTTATTTTGTAGTTTAATTGTTATTTTTAGTTCACTTACGATATACATTTTGTTTATAAAATATAAAAAATATTGAATTGTGTGCTTATAAAATATAGAATGCACTTAAAAAAATTTTCAATATTTTTTCTATTGATTTACCTCTATGTTTACTATATTGTAATTCAGACATTCAGTTATTTTGGATTCAGTAGATTTTTGTTTATTGATTTAACAATTTTAACAGATGAATCTTGACTTCATATTACTTATCATTTTTAGGTATATAATTTTATTCTTTGTGTCAAGCCAAGAGATGAGATTAAAAGTGAGTTTACTGATTGATAACATTTATGTATTATAAACTCCAGTATATTTTACACCATATTATCTTCTTTATACATTAATGTATTGAAGATTTTACAAATGTTATAGGGCGATGACATTGCAAACAGAATTGAAATTTAATAATAAACATCAGAGATCAGACTACTATAGGTAGGTAACGAATATGAGAAATGGCCTACTTCAGTGGCATATATTATAGCAATTTATTATCATCTGTTTGTATTTATTGTTGTAATCAATGTATAATATTTATTCATGTGAAAATGTAGGTAGTGTCAATAATAACACAGGTACGTATTTATTGATGGCAAATAGGTAATGTTAAATTAATATTAAATTATAGTTATAGTAATAGCTCCAATTGCTTATCTACATGGTCAGGCTACTGTGATTTGAAACGTACTTACTCCAAATGTGACTAATATTAATTAATTAGTTATTGATAAAAAAATAAAATAAAATATATTATTTGGTATTGGTAATTGAGAGCTGTAATACGTTTTATTTTAAAATTTAAAGTTAATATTACATTGGATGATATTGACGTCCTGAATGAAACTATCCATGTACCTACCTGAGAATTCTCCCTTTCACTACGAATGTTCATTAAATTAAAATTTATGTTATTTTCCGGGTGGAGGGGAGAAGTTTCCAAATACTATACATTAAAACATATCTCTTATTCTGTATAATATATAACAAACTTTGCGTGTTGTGTAGGTACATAATCTGAGTTATCAATTATCATAATATACAACAATGTAATCGTATTTTATATGATGAAACATATGTATATCTATGATTTATTAAATTATAATAAAATAGGAGAGGAGTTTCGTCCCCTTGCGCACTACTCCAATTCGAGCTCTGCCAATCATAATATAGTACCTATTATATCATTATACACACTTCATAACACATATTATATTTTTATAAAAAAATTAAATTCTTTTTACATAAATAATTATTAAATAGGTAAACTGTGGAACTAATTACTAATACTAATGAGACATTTGATTCATTTGAACTTATTTTTTTTTCACAAATCTTTTATTTGTGTTAAAATTGTTAAAAGACATACTTTTATTTTCTCATTAATCAATTCAAGCTTCATTCAGTTATTTAGTTATATATTTACAAGTGTGAAAAATCTTTGTTTATATAAATATGATATTGAAAACTGTAATAATATTCGTAGAACTTTTTTTCCAATATTAACAAAAAATTAAAAATTCATTTTTTTTAAAAAAAAATTAAAATAAAATTTTATTTATTATCTGTATTTATACGTTATACAATAAGTAAATTAAATAATATTTAAATTACTGGAAGAGGAAATTGCCCATCGGTGGTATTCTGTTAATAAATTCATTTATTGAAACATTTTTGTATATTTTTTTTTAAACTGCGAAAAATGTGTATGATTTATTATTACTTGAAATAATTTCACGGCACTCTCAATCCTGGCTGAGAATCTCTGTATAATGAAATGTACGAATACTGTTCAGTGTAGAATACCGATTAGTATAAGTAAAATAATCAACACGTATATAAATACCTACCTAGTTCGAATCAGCGATACTTACGTATCGTTCAGGTTAATTTATTATTTTTGTCAATTCCAGAATACACTTTTAGTTAATACACAACCCAGGTTGTGGGTGTATGTGTAATTTTTACTTTTGTATAGAAGCACGTAGTATGCAATGTTCAATGCGTACATTTCAGGGTCCACGTATAAATCCTTATTAGTAGGGATTCCAACCCTGCAGGAATGTAATTTAATCTAAAGCTTATTTAATTCTATATGGCTAAATTCAGGATAATCATAATGTAACGAACGATCTTGTTGGAGTTTAATTCCAAATGATTATGTTTCGGTTTCTTGGGGTTTTTCAAAATCGTGTAGGTAGATGACTGTTTTAAATCCGGACACGTATCACCAATAAAACAAACGATCTACGATCAACACAAATGTTTATCATATCGAGATAGGAATTTTTCAGAAAGAAAAAAAATATTTTCATGTAATAGCTATACAGTGGGTTGTTAATACTAGTATAAATCATTTTCAGATGTTATAATCTATGCTGACGATAAAATCGTTTTCAGATATACTATACGCTGATGATACATGTAATATTGTAGGTGGTGTATAGTCGTATAGACAAAATTGTAAGTAGACATAACTGTTCACTTTAAAAAAATATAAATTATAAAAGAATTTCGAAAATAATATTTTGTATTTTATTTATTTAATAAAAAGAGCTTTCTGCATTACACGTTTATAGAAGCTCAACAATTAAACATTAATACAATAGGTCTAACCTACGTTTATGATGCAATATTTTAAATTGAAAAATATTAAATGTTATTTTTTTGATTAATATTTATGCACATATATAGAATGAACATATTATTTAATAATATATTTGGTATAAACGTATTATACAATATTTTATCATATAGTCGAGTGCAGCCTTGTATAGTTGTATATATATAATATTAATGTCAATACGAAAGAAATATTATCCGTGAATGGTATGCTCGCAATTTGTATGTGTAGGTTATACCTACGAAACAGTATGTATAGGCAGTCGGTTGTGCATGAGGCTTTGCAGAAAAATTGATTTCGTTTCTTTTCGCTTTCCCCGCGTTTTGCTGCCATTGCCCTTTGTTCCTGCCACCGCGACCGATGCACGCGTTATACGCATAGGTAATATAATATGGTAATATCGCCTACTGGGTCAGCGTGTATAGTGCTATGGGTAGTCGTTATTAGGGGAGACAGTCGGTTTGCTTAGGCAAATTCCTCGACTTTAATATTAGTCGATTTTATTGTAAAAAAGACGAAATCCGCCATTTAAAATATCCATATGATTGTACCAATCTTCCTCTACTTCTTCTTTATTTTATATATACTCGACTCGCAGCAGAGGCTCAAGGTCCTATACTCTCACAGCGTATTTATATATATAATTATATATATAATATATGTATGAATGAAACCGTTCGATAAGATGAAAATATTAAATACTATACTGTTTTATACGATATGGTATTTATCTTCAAAACCACCCTTAATTCCGCTTTTTTTTATCATATTATTAATTATTATTACTAGTTTAATATAATATTTATTCACTATATTGTGATATTGTATGTATTTCTATAGTATTTAAAGTTACATGTTAATTGTTATTATTTGTATACTGCAGTCTGTACCTTAACAACAATATTGTACTCATCGTTGATTAATCCAGCCATTAAAGTAAAACATCATATCAAGAAGTTTCAATTTTAAATCATTCATTTATATTATAATATTGTAATTAATTGGTTCGTATAATATAGTTTTTAAGAACGGAGTATACACTATACTGCGCTACAGGTATTTCAGTATTTGTAAGCTATACCTTGATATCCGTATTTCCTTCCAATAGCAATTCTGTAAGTAAGTAGATATTTACCTATAATTCCGTTAATTATAAAGATTTTTATTCTTTTTTTACGAGTTTTTTCCATACACATTGTTTGTATCAATAATCTCAAACTTGCATTTCGAAAGAAAAATCTATACTTGAAATGTTTTTTAGGTTCACGCGGCTAGCGTTTGTGTGTGAGTGTATGATGTAGGGGTGATGTTAGTGCTTGAGTTATAGAACTTGTATTGATAATGTAGATAAGAGCTATCATAAAAAAAAGTGTAACGCGAATGAATTTCAAACAGAACTGTAAAGTATCTAAAATCTTATAAGTTGACGAATAATTACGGATGTCGAAGACTTCGCGAATTATAAGAACTAGTTTTCAATAAAATCACTACGCAGATTTTAAGATTATTGTTTCTCTGTAGGCATAAGAAGGTTGGTACATAATTTATAAATGTACAAAATGTTTGGTTACCCATTTTAGTCCTTTTGTTACAGAAAAGCAGCAAGCTCGCGCCATAATATATAATCGCATAAAACAAATCAGCAACGGTGTATGGTAAGTGTAGTCTGTAGAAAACCCGCGTTAATCTTAAGCTTAAAACCTACGTACAATATGCACATATAGTGTCACCATCAAATACATCAGTACCTATAATATAACCATATAGATTAGGTTAGCATGACACTACTATGTATTATTATGTATTACACACCGCATAATAAATCAGTACAGTCTGATGTTTATTCTACCGAACAATTATTATTGTAATTATTGCCGTCTACACATTTTACATATTTTATACCGCCTTTATACTTAGAATTGGTTGTGGTAAAGATAAAATTTCACCTATGTACGTATAAATACAAAATAGTTCTTTTTATCTGTATATATATTATAGTGGGATTATAAGACTGAATACTGTGTGTCAGTATACTAGAGTACGTAATATTATATTGTATCGTTTTCTCTAGAGTTTTTTGGCCATACACACTTCTACAAAAATAAAATATAAATTACTATTTTTTTTTTTTTTTTTTTTTTTTTTTGTTAATTTTATTTAAAAATGAGTGAATAAGCAATATTTAAAATACTTATACACTGTGCTGTTGCTCAATATTGTCTCATAATAAGACGTATTGTTTTATTATTATTATTATGGTTTGGTGGCTGTAGCCGAGTTACTTATTTAATAAGATTTCACTTATTTTATTCTATCATCTATCATTGCTGCAGAATATAACGTATTTGATCTCCATGGTTGGCTATAGATTTATTTAAAATTAATCTTAAATTTTTAATTAAACAAGCAAACGATATTAGGAATTTATTGTAATGTAGAAAATAAGTTTTATTTTTGTTACTATTACTATAATCATAAATTTGTAACTAAGGTTGATAATAATGCAAGATCATGAATTTTTGTACTATAAGTTTTCATAATTTACAATTACACTTAAACAAGTGACTGGTTATGCATTAAATAATACATGCGTTTTGTCATTTTTCCAATGGTTTGTCTGCTCATCACTCTATATTAATATATAGTAATATATAATTATAATGAATTAATAAATTATTTTGCTTTTTGGGTAAATAATTTATAAATAAATAATTATACCCAATATTTAGTATTCTTTTGTAATTATTTAAGGTTATTTTTGTAGTCCATACTGTTATCTTGGAACACACTGGTTTAATGTGCAATCCTATACCATTTATATCAGTTATAACAGCTGCAAATTTGTCACCAACTACTTGTAGCACCTACACAGTATTATATTATATAAAATAACGTATTTTATTTTATTTTTAGATTCTGAACGAAGTAGTTGTAGGTATCTAGGCAATGCGTAAGTTAAAAAAAGTGTTATTTTTATGTGTCTACCTGGTGATATTTTTTTAAGTGAAAGGAGGACTTCAAAATTTTTTATGAAATCTTACCTATCAATTAGGAATTGAGTCTAGTTGTTTTTTTAAAAAGTCGGCTTTTTGAGATTTTTAGTAGAGTTTTTAAGATTATTTAGAATAAGACTGCTGATTGGCACATTCCAAAGAAATTAATTTATCTAAGCAAGTGTAGCTTAGATAAAAATAAAACAATGTCGGGATTGGTTTTCAAATACGGTTTTCACTCATTATATTTAAAATTAAAAATATTTATATTAATTTGTAATTAAATTTGAAAACATTAATTTAACCTTCATCATTATTAATACCAATACAAAAATATAATAAAATATATTATTGGACTTAATAGGTTGACATCATAATTTATTTTTTGTACTGATTTAATAATTTATCATTGAATTTAAATTTAATATATCCATTAAAGTGACTTATTACTTACTCAATAATGTGATGCATTTAGCATCTATAACACAGTTGAGTAAATTAGTTTTTTTTTTAAGTTTATTATTATGGTTTTGAATTATTTTAAATTTATGAGTATTTTAAGGTTATTTTTAGTTGAAAGTCTGAAACTATGCTTAACTAATATTATTATTAATTATAATATAATATATAACATATTATATCCCTACAAAATTGTAAAGTTTTATACGTACCATATTATTCCATATATTATGTAAATTGTGGTTATCTTTCAATACGATTACCCAACGCCCTGCATTTTCGTTACTTTTGTGTTCCCATGCGGGTATGCTTTTTTCATTGAACACAAATAAACATGTGTTTACAAATTTTGCTGATGGTTTAATGATATGGCTGATAACTCTATATAGATATGGTTATATGTATTAATAATGTTTAGTGTTGCTATTAACAGTAGATAAATTTGATAAAAAAACTTTTATACAATTGAATTATTTGTGAGTCAGTGAAAAATATTAAAACAAAAAACAAAGAGTGGTTTTATAAGATCTAAGGTATTGTTAAAAATATATTGAAGACATTTTATGAATTTGATATTATATTTTTATTCAAAAATATATTTAGATTATCTAATGTTCCCATCTATATTTATTGTTAATAGTAAGTTTACCTAATTTTAATTCTTATTATGTAAAAAATGATATAATGATTTAATGATTATTATTATTATTATTTATTGATTTAATGCAATTACATGAGTGATAAAATATTTTAGAAATTTTTGAGATTTTCGAAATTGACACGGATATTGAATCATGGTCTATTTGTTTTATTCAAATTTAACAGATTTTAAATTAACTTAAATAATAAAAATGAACTATAATAAACATAATATTATCTTATAAAAAAGGTTATTAATTATTAATTTTGAAGTTGTTTATTTATCGAATTATTTTGATAAAAATCGATAATTTATCACATACCTACATTGAGTATTGAATTCTATATAATTATTATTAACTATCTCAGTGTTTCTCAATCGGTGTCCCGCGGTACACAAGTGTGCGCGAACTGGCTGTAGGACGTAGGTGTGCCGCGGCCGTAGTTTATACGTATAGAGTTATTAGATATTAATTTTTAATTATATAATATATTGATATAAAAATGCTTTTTTTGTTTGCTTTTTATTATTTTATTACTATTAGTGTTCCGTCAAACTGTATAGTTATAAGAAATGTGCCGTGAGCATAAAAAGGTTGAGAATCATTGAACTATCAATTAAATCTTATTTTATTTTTATTTTTTTAAATCAATGTTATTAAAAAACATAGCATTAGTTAATAATCATAAACTTACTTCCATAAATGAGTAATATCGTGAACAGTTTCAATTTTGGTCAATGATTCTTCCCACGGATACCTCGTTTTTGAAGGATTTGTATACCAAAATGTCCAAGAATTTATTGGATATACCATTGCAACATCTGAGTATAATGATTCAGTAGAATTAATAATGTTTTTATCATTTTTTATATTTTTCATTAACTTTTGATATTCGTCAGTTAAATTTGGTTTTGATTTAATAATTTTATTCGATTCGGTAACAATTTGAGGATACTCGAGCTGAACAAATAGTTAATATGGTTTGTAATTAGAGCATACAATAATTAGATCAGAAATACTTACGTGTATTGTATCATGTTATTGTTATATTTATGTGTTATTTAATCAATTTATTTGTTGATAATATTATTATATACATTTCTATTATTATTATTACTTATTATTTTAAACATATGGATAACCATAATTATTATAGAAATAAAATTAACAATTCATTTCAATATTCATAATTTTTAATTAATATTTTTATCAACTTAAATATGGAGTATAATTATTATAAAGTTATAACATCGTTTAAAATTAATAAATCAGAACATTTGTCTAATTTCGTATTTTTTTTTTTTTTTATGTTTATATTTTTTCTTTTATAATTATAGCTAATTTTATATTGAAAAAATATAGATTTTAGTTTTACATTTACAAATATTGATTACCTAGTCGTTATTTATTACATACCACACGAAAAATGTCCGTGTAATGAATAGTTTTATATGACGTAGATTAATTTGATAAATTAATAATTTTATTAATTCATTACACAATGCTCGATAGGTGATTATTTAACTCAAGAAACTATTAAAATGTATTTACTCATAGAAGGAGTACCTGATGAGTTTTATGTTAAAAAATATAGAACTCATATTTAAAGCACTTTTTAAGTAAAATTGTCTGAATCAAACAAAATTGAATAACTTGTATATATATTAATTAAGCTATTGAAGAATAGATGTTTTATGTTGCTTTAATTTTTCACATAATTATTCAAAAATTGTATGAAAGTATAATATGATTACCTACTTGAATATATGAATTATTGATTTAAAATTATACCTGATCATTTTTTTCTAGATTATATTCCATCTTAATATATTATATGATTTAACACCATACACTTTATTTTATTATTGTAAACATATAAGCACTAAAAGTATATAACAAAAAAAAGAAGATTAATAAACAAATTATCTTGGTTGTCAAGGAAACAAAATATTGTGTTGAAATGAATTAAATATGGTATTTGAAACTGTAAAATATTCTTCTTATTAGTCATTAGTAATTTACATATTTGCTTTTTTCACAACAGGCATAGATTTAGGCACCCAGCTACAATAAAAATTCTTTTCACTATAGTCACTTGTATTTTTTAACTGCTTAACTGAAAATTTATATCCTTCCAACAATTTGATTTTGAATATTTGTGAAACATTTGTTGGTTTAATTTTTGTTTTCTTTATTAAGTTATATCATAGTATGTAAAAATAATTAAAAATAAATAGTGTCATACGTTAAAGCATACAACTTAATAGAACTCATCAACTAGAATAAAATATTTATTATAATTTACCAAAAATTTAGTTTGCAAATTAGGTCAAGTTTTTACATGATAGATATTTTATTTTGAAGTAAATGTTTAAGAATCAAACAAGAAAGCATTTTATTTTATTTTTTTTAACACTTAATTAAATTTAAAATAATTATTAATCATTTAAATTACCTATTACTTATTATTATAGGTAATAGTAATATACCTTATGGTTAATGCGTATATAAGAGAATGTACGAAAAATAATTTGGTTTAAAAATTTACTAGATATAAAATGTTTTATAGTGATAATAATATATTACTTAAGTATAGATATTTTTATTAAAAAATTTATTATTATAGAACATTTGTTTAGATGAATTTCCATAGCTACTGTATTTTTATTTTGTTTTTATTTTTTTTTTTAAACTAGACAAATAATATATGTGTCCTTAAAAGTATTCTAATATAAAATTAATGTACTCAGCACTATATTTTTTCTTTTATTGAAGTTATTTCTGTCGTAATATGAAACCTATAATTTGTCTTATCCATAAGTTCCTACATTAAATTGAAATTATCAAGCGTTTTGTCTTGATCCGTAATTCATTATTTACAACTTGACCTTTTTTTTTCCCCATTCTCGTGTTTCTACGAGCTCTTTAATTTTTCAACTTCGTTCTTTTCCAATATAATTATACCTTTATGGCTATATACATGTAGGTATATATTTATAATAAGTTTGTCCTATTGGTGTATATTCCCGTGTAATTTATAGCCAGACCCCTCTTTATACTGACTAGGTATCAGGCGATCGGTGTGCCAGCACATGAAACATATCAAGAGGAAATTAAATATTTATCGTTAGCAAAAATTGAAAAAAAAATATTGGGAACAAAAGAAACTATTGTTGTTATTATATTTTTGGTTTATTCCGAAACAATGGTTTTATTATTTGATATTTACATCATAGAAGAGGTAAAGTTGTAAACAATATACCATTCTTCATCCCTATATTGATAATAAATAAATGTTTTTTCAAAAACTGGGATCCATAAAATATGAAATTAAACGGGATATTTTAATGTTCATCTGTCTTGTCATATCATATGAGTTTCCACTATTTTACGGTTTCACTCACATTTTAGCCGTCAATTTGCTACTGCTCGTTCAGACAATTTATATTATTGTGGTTTTCCCGCACACCTGGGAGCCCTTATACCTTTTTCTGACAGCGGGACCCTTATGTATAATATAGAGAGGTGTGTAGCTTTTTTTAACGCTCGAAATCCAAAGCATCATTCTTCAACGTCAAATGCAAACCGATATCTTTGAAACGTGTCAATACTTGGACTTGACCTTTGTTGTAGGTTTACAATTGTATATTTTATTTTACCTTTTACAATTTTTTTGGCATTATATTATTTATTTGATCCCAATGATTATTGTACATATTTTTAACCTTCTAAAAAAATAATATTTGGTATAAATATTTAAATAAATAATAATTATTATTATTTTTAATAAAGAAATACGTTGATAATGATAAAATCATATGAGCAAGGGTTAATTTTCGTTATTATATATTTTAATTTATTTTATAAACTCTGAATTTCTGGACTTTAAGATGCTATTAAATTCAATTGTATTGATAAATATAATATATTAATACTATTCTATGTATTAATTTATATGTAATAATATTATTACATTCACATAAATATTAGTTCGTCATATTAATCATTTTTGAGCTTTGTTTTTATATATCGAAATACACTACATTTTTCAATTAATTTGAACTTTAACTAGTGATTTCGCATATTAATAAATATCAAATGCATATTTTAAAGTATTTTAAGTGACTTTTTACCTAAACTATACATGAAAATTTTAGCATTTTCCTTTTTAGGATGTTTTTTATTGAAACACCTACATATTTTATTACTTATCAAATATCATAAATACAACATATTTAAATACGGTGTGGATTTTGAGTGTTTTTTGTTTTACCATATATTTGATACAAGATAACGTGCAAAATATAAAAATTTTGTGTATTAACTTATATTCGTATTTAAAAAAAAAAAAAAAAAAAAAAAAAAAAAAACAAACACTTAAACGTATTATAGGTATCAAAATGTTTAAAGTTATAATAATAGTCAAATTATAGAACAGATTACGAATGGCATAATTTATTTATATGTTTATTTTTATTACTATATTACGATTTTATTATATACTTGGTTGGTTTAATTAAAGTAGTACTACATATAAGAATATAAAAATTATGATAAGTGCATTGAATGCTTCAAACATTCGTGTTTGTTTACCCTTAAAGATTATTTGTATTTTTAAAATGAAGTAATACAGGTAGCCAATTTAGTATTATTAACGCTACTTGAACATATTTTGGTTTAAGCTGCATTTCTTAAAAAATTTAAATATGTATAAAAAAAAATAATAACAATTTTTTTTTTTTAATCTAAATTATTATTAAATATGACTTAACTAAAAATATCTTTAAAATTTCCATTTAGTATTATGACTATATATTATATTAGAACGACAAAATACTTTTATTTATTTTACTAATCTAGCTATGAATTATTTTTATTAAATATTAATATAAATGGAAACAAATTTTGAAAAAAAAATTTCCAATGTATTGGGTAAAATTTTTAGAAAAAAAAATACAATGCAGTTGGTAGAGACTCGAGATAACTGCTCCAAGAGAAAACGCTTAGATAGTTTGCGATAACTACAGGTGTAAAATGGAGAGCAACAGATTTATGACGTCGTATATCTTTTCTGTAGAATGGTAGAACGAAGTAAGGGTTCCCCTATTTTATTGAGTGATCAATCCTTTTACCACGCGCTTCAGGACCATTATTTTGGTATATGTGTACGCCCGCGTAGCTAGGAGGTAAATGTCACTTTATCATCCTTATCGGGTACTGGAAAATATGTTTTCAAAAGAGCACAAAGAGATACATGAATGAAACATATCTTCTTTGTCCGTTATTTTTCAGGAATCGTATCGACTGATTTCAATATTGACGATGTAGGTGTCATAAAGTAAGGTTTATTAATAACCTCAATGAAATAACTTATGCACATATTTTATATTTTAAGTGTTTTTTGAATTATACGTGCATATTTTTATTTTTAATTAAAACCGCGGTGTCACAATTTATTAATCTCTAATGTCCTCTTTAAAATTAAAAAAAGCTTAAACATAATTTAATATACCTTTTCATATACAACTGTATGCGAAATAGATTTAAATTTCAAACCAATGAAACATTTACATTATTTAATTTATTTTAATGAAAATGCATGATTGTATGAAATTATAATTTCATACAATACTGTAAATTTATTAAAAATCTGTTTTTACGTGGCCTTTGAGGTGAATTTACAAATTATATTTTATTATCAAATTTTATTTATTTAAATTAGTATTCATTTTTAAACAAAAATAACCAATCATGGTTGATAATATTTTCTAAATAGTGATTTAAAAATGGATAAGGATTTTTTTGAACATAATGTTTAATCGATTGTTTAAGAATTATTTTTTTATTTCAAACAATACGTAATCAAGTAGTAGGTATGTGATCGATATTTATATAATCAATATATCATACAATTTTAGTTTTTATAACTATAAAAATTATGATTTCAATGATTTTAAGAACAATATTTTACTAATGATTAATGACAAATCATAGAGTATATTCTAGATGTTTTGAAGCCTAACAGTATGACGGAAATATGAATAAAAATTTTCAATATCATCAAAATTAAATTTATACTTTTAGTTAAGAATTATTTGATTTTGATTCCCTATAACATGCATTAATATAATATTAAATATTTTGAATAGTTGTAGAGTTTTCATAATAATTGCTAATTTATCGAAATCACCGTAGGTAAGTCAATTAAAACAAAGCCCATTTAAATGTTTCCCGCACGGTGTTTAAGTTTCTGAAACTTTCTTCATTCTACTACAGTTTATATATAGTATTACCGGAAAATTATTCACGCGTGTTCAAGCATCATCAAAGCAGTAGATTTAAATTAAAATTTTTAATTTTAAAGCGTATTGTTTAATGTATAAGGTTAAGTTAAGATTCTGAATGTAGTAGAAAATTGATACGTGTAAGGCGTAAGACATGACGTGTTTACTAAAATGTGAATTATTGGGTATAGCTGTTACACTTTTGTATGTTATACAGTCGAATTTGGTTAACTCAAAGTTGAAGGAATCAGAAAAAAGTTCGAGTTATCCAAATTGAAAATGTTTAAAATAGTACAAAATATATTAATTCCTATATATTTATTATGAATAAAGTAATGTAATAAAAAATATTTACTGTATAATTATGTATGAATTATATATATGAAATTTTAAAAGAGGTATGTATCTATGTATAAATAAAAATGAGGTTAGAAAATTATTTCATAAAGGTATTTATTTTTGTTTGAGTTTTGCTATTGATCGCAGCGTTTGTAATGAATCGTTTTAAACCATTTAATGGTAATGATAACACTAATG